CGCGAGAACGAAACGCCCTGAAATTTCGGCGGAAAAAATCTTGCCCCTTCCCCCCACCGTTTGTTCTCCGTGATGTGCCGACACCAAAAAAGGTGGTGCTCGGCACCCCCCCCGTTTTCCCCGTTTTCCACCCCTTCCCTTCACCTCGCCCTGTTCACCCCCCCCCCCCCCCGAGAAAAACCCCTCCCCACCGTCCCTTCCCGAGGTCCAACCAATTTTTACTCAAGCCCCCCGCGCGAGTGTGGGAAAGTGTGTGTGCCCATGTGTATATAAACACCCACGCGCCATCCTACAGATCGTCTCATATATCGTATTAATACACGCTTCTCACACACACACACACACACACACACACACACACGCACGCACGCACACACACACACACACACCTCACACGCGCGCCCCACACCACTGCACGTCACTGCCACCAGCGTTGTTGGACTGCGGGCATCGCACATTGACTGGCATGACGTTGCCGGCACCAATCCACAAGACGCCAACACGACCGCCAATGTCTCCGCCACGGCCGCTTCGCTGACAGCATCGCTGCACCTCACGCTCTCGTGGGCTGAGCCGGCTCCCCAGCAGGTGGCGTGGATCCATGCGATTGTGTGTGCCGGAAGATGTCTTGCTTGCATTCATTCGTTTATTTGCACGGCCTGCCGCGCCCCTCTGCTCAATCTTGCTCGTACATACACACATACACATACAAACATACCCAAAACGCGTACGCATCAATCACCAGCTTGCATCCGCTCGCACGTTCACGCGCTCACACGTTCACACGTTCACGTTGGCACGTGCACGTTTGCTTCGTTTGTTCTTGCGATCAATAGACCACCCGCTTCTGGCGCGTGTATGCGAACACAACATCAACGCATGCCGAGGATGCCTCTCTCATTGGCACCGCACACGTGGTGAGCTCGCCGCTGAGGGTGTGGTGTGGTGTATTGCTGCCATTGTACAAAGGCTGTTGTCATGCATGCACTCCCCCACTCCCTCCCTCACTCACTCATTCACACACAAACACACACACACAAACACACACACACTCTCTCTCTCTCTCTCGTCCACTCACCGACCCACTCCCTCTCCCCTTTCAGCCTTGCTTCCGTGTTGTGCCGCTGCCCGTGACTGCCCGTGCGGGTGCGCGTGCGTGTGTGCGGCTGTGGGTGCAGCCTGTCTCCTACGCGGCCCTGACACCAGCACTCAGCACATGTGCACACGTCGACATCGCATTCACAGCGCCCACACCGAAGAAGGGAGCGTGATACCCGTGTTGCCGCGGTCCTCTAACATCTCACTGCTATGGGTGGATTCGCTCAGTGACAGCCGTTGTGTGGATGGCGGGAGGGGTGCTGATGGACAGCCATGTGTGTATGTGTCTGCGTCTGTGTCTGTCTGTGTTTGCGTGTGTGTGTCTGTGTGTCTGCGTGTCTGTGTCTGTGTGTGTGTGTCTGTGTCTGTGTGTCTGTGTGTCTGTGTCTGTCTTGTCTGTCTTGTCTGTCTGCCTGCCTGTCTGTCTGTGTGTGTGATGGCGCAAGCTGTGCGTTGCTGGTTGGCCTCTGCAGATGTGTTACGCTTGGTGATAAAAGCGTCTACTATTACGTATGCAGGAAGAGAGATCGTCATTAAGCCGAGAGAAGAGTGAATCCAAGATGCTCAAGGGGAAAAAAAAAAGAGGATAACACAGCGCAGAGACGACAACCAACACATGCACACGAGTACATCTCACCCATACACACGCAACCAGCGCGGCGCACGGATGACACACACACACTCACTCACTCACTCAATCACTCACTCAATCACACTCACACACTCACTCAATCACTCACACACACTCACGCTCACACACTCACACAACATTGATCAAAAAGAGGCAATAAGTCAACTGTAGGGACAGGGAGCAAGGCAGATGCAACGAGCAAGCAGAACAACTAAACCAAAATGGTATCGAGATAGGAAAAAAAGAACATCAAACCACATCACCATCACCACCACCACCATCATCATCATCATCATCGCATGAAAGCTACTACAGGTCTCAATAAGCGGGCCCATCACACCAAAGTCCATCCAAGTCATGAAGCGTCCATACCGTACCACACACCCCTGCGTGTGTAATACCATGCCAATCACCTGACAGACGCAGTGGCCTGCTCCACACCGCCACCACTGGCAACACCACCACCACCACCACTACTGGCACCACCACGTCGCCTGCTGCCGGCAACGCGGACAGCGCTCGGCGCACTCTGCAGTCGGTCCCGCACGTGGTGACCACCACTGCCACCATCACCACCAACACCGCTGCCAGCACCACCAGTGGGCTTGTGGTCGCGTGCATCTGCGTCGAGGAGGCCGTATCGGTCATGGATGTTCCAGGGACACGAGGGCCCGGGCAGGAGACTGCGCAGTATGTCGAGTTCCAGTTCCAACCGCGCCACCTCCGCCTTGAGACGGTCAACACGCCCCTGCTCCTCCCGCCGCTTCCGCTGCTGGCTGCGGGCGTTCTGCTTCTTCCTGCGGGCGCGCTTGAGCACCTGCTGCTGCGCCTGTGGCAGCGGGCCGAGAAACGCCTTGAACCGCGCGCGGTCGTAGTCAAGCACCTCCTCAAACACATCCACGTCCATGTTGCACCGCCGCGCATCCTCCTCCATGCTCTTCGGATACGACGACAGGGAGCGGCGGGCGCGGCGGCCACGCGTCTCCAGCACCGACGTCGACGCAGACCGCATGCGCCGCGTACGCGCATCGTCGTGGGCCAGGGCGGCGGCCAGGGCGTGCGACAGGCGGCCAACCTTGCGGGGCGCTCCGCTTTGGTGTGGTGGATCGTCTGCAAACACGGGGTCGGCGCACGTCTCGAAAGTCAGGGTCAGCCGCCGCTTCGTCGGCTTCGGCTGCTGCTGCTGCTCCTGCTGCTGCTGTGGCTGCTGTTGGCTGTGATGGGTGAGGAGCGGTGCCGAGGGGTGCAGGATTGGTGTTGTTTGCTGGAAGACCTGGTTGTGCTGATGGGATGGGTGCGTGCTTGAGTCGACCCACGCTTTCACTTCCTGCGGCTGCGATTGCTCGTCAGAGTGCTCCTCGCCTTCGCTGCGGCTGCCCTCCCATTCCGTTTCAGCTTGCGACGTGTTGCTTGGGGTTGGCGAGGACACGCTGTCGAGGGTCGACGCAGACAGCGCACGCACGCGAGCAACAGCGGGCACAACAGCCGCCACACCAGCAGCGGAGGTGGTTGCGCTGCCGCTGCTGAGGTGCCGCCTCCGTCGCTGCTCTGAGCGCAGCGGCATTTGTGCGCGGCGATCAACAGCAAGGCTAGCTGAGGAGGCCTTGGGCGGCGCTGCCGTCAGCACCTGCTGCTGCTGCCGCCGCTGTTGTGCCTGTGGTTGTGGCTGTGGGTGGACGGGAGTGTGGTGGTCGTCGTGGAACACATCGTCATGTGGTTGTTGGTGTGGGTGAAGCTGCAATGGCTGGGGCTGGGTGGGCATGCCTAATCCACTCCAGCAAAAAGGTGCCAAGCAAGAGGGAATCGAGTCAATGAGGGATGCTTGCTCGTCGCTTGTCGCTCGCTCGCTCTTGCTCGCTTGCTTGCTTGTCAGCTTCCCTTGTTCCTGGCTGCTTGGCGACCTTGTTGTCGATGTCGATGTCGATGTGAGTGTGCGTGCGTGCGTGTGTGTGGCGTTGTTGTTGTTGTTCTCTCACACGAAAACCAAAACACACACAACACAACAGCACAGTCAGCAAAGCGTGAATGGCGGGACAACTATGTATCCACCGCCCACAAAGACGCATTTTGAAGGGTTGGTAAACTCACATTTGCCTACACGAAGGACCAAGATCACAGAGGTCGTTGCACATCACACATCACCCACCATGCCTGCGGTGACCGTGAAGACGCAGACGCGCGATGAGGTGCCGCAGTCCACGCGGCTGGTGGACGTTGGCCACCGCCAACGCAGCGCCAACATGGTGTCAACCAGGCGCAACAACTGGTGCGAGCGTTGTGTCTGTGTATCTGTATGTGTGTGTGTCCGTGTGTGTGTGTCCGTGTGTGTGTGAGTGTGATGATGATGATGATGATGATGATGATGATGATGGTGATGATGGTGATGATGGTGATGATGATGATGGTGATGATGGTGGTCGTCATCGTCGTGGTGGTGAATCCCCCATCGCGATGTGTTGTGCAGGCCACCTCTCTGTATGTCTACGTGCTCTCCCAACGGTGCCTTCCTTCACACACACACACACACACACACACACACACACACACACACACACACACACACACACACACACACACACACACACACACACACACACACACACACACACACCGCAGGTCCGAGTTGAGGCGGTACTTGCAGAATTTTCAGGGCCAACGCATCGTGGATCAGTTTCGCGCTTGCTCTCGCAACGAAAAGGTCATCATTGTCGGCGCCCTTGCCCAAGGTACGAGCAACAACAACAACAACAACAACAACAACAACAACAACAACAACAACAACAACAACAACAACAACAACAACAACAACAACAACAACAACAACAACAACAACAAGACAACATTGAGTGTAGATATTGCACTTTGCTTGACTTTCTCTCTTGATCAACGCTCGTTGTCGTTAACGTGCATGCCTCCTGTACTGTTGTTGTTGTTGTTGTTGTTGTTGTTGCTGCTGCTGCTGCTGCTGCTTGTGATGTGACGCCCCACGTCGTTGTAGCCACCATTGTCGCTTTGCTGCAAGCCCTCATCCTCGCCCTCGAAAAGCTTCCGGTCTGCTCCTGTCGCGGTCATATCCGTGTGTGCGTGTGTGTGTGTGCGTGTGTGTGTGCGTGCGTGTGTGTGCGTGTGCGTGTGTGCGTGTGGATGCGTGTCGACATCGCCAACAACCCCCTCTCCTCCTCTCATCAGTGACCCCATGCACGTCGCCTGTGTGTGTTTACAGGACTTGGACTCGTCTCGTCGTTCGTACATTTTCTTCTTCTTCTTCGTCTGCTGCGCCGGTCTTGTGCAGGCCGTCTTTGGGGTGAGCACCAACCTCTGTGTGT